ATAAATTCATAAAATTGTAGTTCAATAAAATTTTGAATGTAAGTCAACAAACGCAATGACATGGCCTTTGACCCATGACAATAGGTTTAATAAACATCTTCAGTAGCGCTAAATCAATGGGGAAAAAATTCAAACTTAGAACTAGGTACATGGCATGTACCCCTATTTGAATCACTGACTTACAACCAATAGAAAACCAAGGTTTTAATCTACCAAATGCTGTATAATATTATGTTGTTTTCTGCACAGAGAATTGTCTATTTCACTTTCAGTTCAAGCTTACTTCCCATATGAAACACATCAACAAGTTTAGATGAATTTTTAATGGCTATTGTCTGCTTTTTGTATGTTATTATTCTGTATTTTTTGGTGAATTATTTAATTAAATAAAAAATTCTTTAGTGCAGTACTACCATTAGTATAAAAAAGTGGGGTTAGGCATCATTGACAGTCCACAGCAAAAAGAAAGAAGACTCAGGTAAATACTTTATTTCTTGTTTCTCATGTGTATTCTTTATTTATTATGGTAAAAGTAACTAAAATGTAAAAATCAGAAACCTTTTAGGTTAGATACAGTTAGATTAGGTAAAATTAAGAATAATAATAATAAAAATTTCTTTGCTCGTGAGCAGCTTGCAAGTAACTTGTGCATTATGTAATTTGATAGTTTAACATGAATTGCATGTTCTCCAAGTGATTTACAACTTATATAGTGTGAATTAGTTACACACAGTTCAAAGGACAATAAAACAATAAAACTTAAACATAAAATTAAGAAAAACAAATATATATATTGTCACAAGTTTAGAACTATTTAGGATTAACAAATGAAATTTAATGTTACAATATGAAGTGATTCTAGAAAAAAAAATGGTAATTTAGATTTATTTCAAATTTTTTTGGTGGTTACAAGGTTGGTCAAATTGACCAACCTTTTACAGAATTAGGTGGAGAAAATAACAGAAAATAAAGTTTTACTGAAAAATAATTTGAAATATACTTAGAAGGTTTTAGAGAATATCCAAATAAAATTTGAAGTTTTTGAGACAAAGAAAAATATTTTTAATCTCAACATGAAAATCACTTTTTACTCGGACTAGCCAAAAATATACTCAATATATTCATGGACAAATCTTTAGTAAAAATGCTTCATTAAAAAATCTGATTTTTTGTGGACAAAAAACTTGTAATGTTTACTGAAAGTTTGACAAATTTTGTGACGATACACATACTGTATTAAAAGTAATAGTATGGAAACTGTAATGAGTACTCTAAGGTTATGAACTCAGTCAATTCAATCGAGCCCACAATGATAGAGTTAGTGATCTCTGACAATGTGTCTTATAGTGGTCACTTTTGTCCAGAAGAAGGCACAAGCTAGACAAGCTGCTTGTTACCAGTCTGGCTGAAAAATACTGTTACTCTGTCTGACAAAACTATGCATTATGCTTTGATAAGATTCAATTGCCCATCTAAGCAAAACAAATGCTGTAACAGGCACCAACTGTAATGAAGCCAGTGTGCATGTGTATAAGAAAATGATGCCCATTTCTATAAATGTAGGCATGCATATGATGATTGGAATGTGTCCAGGAATTTCCAATATTTATGTTTAGTTTTCTGAGCAAAAAAAAATCTATTAATTTTTACAATACTAACAACATTGATCATTTAATATTTTGAACTTTTAAAACAAATATAATGAATTTCAAAAGGCTCTTTATGTTTATAAGGCCATTTTATAAAATTTAAAGTATTTTCCAAATTTCAAATACTCTGAAGTCATTTTCCAGGTTTTCAAAGATGTGTACAAAAAATCCTGTTATACTCATTTGGAGATAATCTGGAAATAGATCCAACTCTCACTTTTATGAATAAATGTGATGTTTATGTTGGTATAAACAGGAATAAGCACCAATAATATATTTATCTCCACATCCTGTGTAATGGTACCATTATTGACACACATTAAATGGATTGGCTTGCAAGCTCTCTGGACTTCAATGCCATCAAACATCCTATTAGCCCTTTTGTAATGGGTACCCCTTTATATCCTCTTCTGTGCAAGTCATTGTGTTAATTCAAAATTTTATTAAAAAAGATGCCCTAAAAACAGCTGTTACAGTGAAGTAACATTGGTTCCAAGCTGCCCTGGCCGTTAATAGTAACCTTACTCTGTATTGAAGTGAAATACCACCTCTACCAAATGTTCATTTAAGAATAACAGCTAAATGATTAATAATCTTCACTTCATATCACATGCCTTATACATACAAAAATGAACTGAGAGGGTGATTGACATTGTTTTTAACAGTGGTTTTTCATTCTTATAGCTAAAATGTAATAGCTTCCTATTATCCTTTAACAATTTTGTGCAATGTATCACACAGTTTAATATAACATGGTGTACAATGAGTTGTCTGTGAGCACATTTTCTACCATACACAAAAAAATAAGAGAAGAATTTATGAACATCTAGCAGGAAAAATGTCGACATTTCAACTTACTTTTATTTAAACTCTAATATTTCCTAATTCTACATACATTATTTTCTATTTCAAAATTTATTGATAGCAGTACAACTGCCTGTCCTCTGACCCTCCCAACAATATACCAGTGTATCTATTGATAAAGCAAAAATACAAAGATTAAATCAATTACTAACACGAAAAAAGATGTAATTGTTTTTTTCTTGCTTTGGTATAACTCAACTTTACTGATCAGTGCTGGCATTCCTCAAAATAGGAAATGCAAAAGGATGGGCCAAGACAAAAATTAGATAAAAACAAACAAAAATGTCTTCCCTCAAATTCAGGTCAGACTAATAAACGGACCTAGCCTCTACATTAAACACTTATTTTCCTTTTACAGTGGTATATTATTTTTCAAAACTACTATGGTATAAATCAAAGCTTCAAAAATTTGAAAATTTATTAGTTCTTTAAGAAAAACTCACCCAAGACACAGAGATTTGTTTGTGAGCAACAGCAATACCAGCAAACACTAGTGGAACACTGGCTAAAACACCAAAAGCACAAACCAGAGGATCAGCACAAGGATTAAAGCGCCGGTAATACTGTGCACCTCCAGATCCAAGAACAACACCAGTTATACCTGCTACACACGTGATTATTCCAAATATTAAACTGACTCTGAAAAGATAATATAATAAGGCATCAGAAACGTAAAATTGCATGCATATTAGGTAGATTATAATTTAAAAAACTTGAAACTACTAATAATATCTAAAAGAAGCAAGAAGAGACATTAAAAAGAATAAAAAACTTATACTCAAAACACAAAAGATGCTTTGAAAAAGGTACTTCAGCCTCAACCTTCTCAACTCATATCTCATCACAAGTGTCGGAAACTTACTTTTTAATAGTGTGTGTATATATATATATTAATGTAAATATATAGGTGTGTTGGGCCAAGGAATCTTCTACAGTTGGTGTATGTGACTTGTTCGCGATAAATTCAACAATAAATGAACAGCACGTACCCTATCTGTTTTTAAAATAATATATATGTATATATATTAGAAACAAGTTAAACATGTGTACAAATTCTTTATGCTATGGAGATCATAGTTGTATGTTAAACACTATACAGTTCTCTTCTTCTTGTCAAAAGTCCACTTAGGCCAATTCAATTGTTCTAGAATTCAGTTGACAAGCTGAAATTTTTTTCTCTATTTTTATCGCAATGGTATCCGTGTATAATTCATTTGCATTGTCGTGTGAGTTACTGCAGTTGTATTCTGAACATTCAAAAATTTCTGCTTTTCGTACTTCCAATAATCATCTGCCTTTTGTTAAGTCCATACAGGCAGGTTCAATTATTTTAGAACACCCTTTAATGAGACAAATTTTTCTCTTTATCTCATTCAAACTGTTAATCTCACTCTAACATATCAACCACTAGGCCATTCACTCCCACGATGGTTAACTTTATGTTTTATAACTTTCCACTGACTGAGCTTCTCTTTCCCATGGTTTTACTTTTACTCTGTTTCTGCTCATCTAGTCGCAGCTATTAATACATCTATCACTTAGGCTTTCTAAAAATCTCCATAGCCTCGACATCAATGGAGTACAAATATAAAATTAATTAATAATACTACCAACACTAGACAGTCTTTTATGTCTGACAACAGGCCACATATGGAAGAAGTCATTAAATCTGTAACATGCTAAAACAACAAAGCTAACTAGACTGACCACTAAACAAGCAATCTTTGATGACTATTAAATATTTTAAGTGATTTTATAGTACACAACTCCAAAACATTGTACATGTGAAGTCATAGTTCAGCATTTTGAAGTTAAAATATATATTAAGTTTAAATTTAATTTATATCATTCAGCAACATACTCATCTTTATCAGCTTTGTTTCCCTGTACATTAATGGCATAAGTCATGTATGATGGGGCCCACCAAGCTAGAGCTCCAACAGCAAATGCCACACATGTGAACCCTGCCGTTGACCAAATAAAGGAATGGCTGAAAATCAAATATTACTGAGAATAGTTTCAAATATATCAATTTCACAAAAACTGTTACGTTTTATTGAAAAACAACTGGAAACTATTTTTTCCGTGACTTGTTTTTAAATAATGTCACTTTTTCCAAGATAAAATAATATTAAAAAACAAAACAATAAATATTGATGTAAAGTTTTATAAATTTCTAGAACTTAAAAGAGAGAGTTAGAATTTTCTAAGTTTCAATTGTTAAATATTCTATTATTATTTAAGCAATATTTTGTTTAGAAATCTACAAATGGACTTTGCAAACACACTACTTTTATAATTAAGTTTGAACTAATAGCTTCACAGAAGCAATTCAGTTGAAATTTCTGATCAAATTTTGTCAATTGTAAAGATAAGAATAAAAAATATATTTCCTTACTTATTCCTTTAAAGTTTTTAGGCAAAAGATAGCTTATCAGCTACTTTTAACAGAGTTTTTCTTGCTTATGGCTGGCTTAGAATCAACATTTTAGGACAATTAAATTTTCATTTGGCAAGATAAAAACAGGATGGTAAACACAAACATGCCAAGTGTCAATCATGACTGGTCCTACCAAAGCAGACTCTATCTTAGCAGTAACCATGTATGTACTGGAATTGACAATAACTATTTACTGAGCAGGATTCACTATCAATTGTTTTAGGACAGAATGTTCATGAACTATAATCAGGAATCTTAAGACACACATTCTCCTACATGAGCAGCTACTGAAAAAGAACAACCTTCTTACTTGGTAATTATACTTTGCAAATCTTCTTTTAAATTTGTGTTTTTTAAAGGAGAACCACCTTCTGCTTCACCTCTTGGTGGGTCTTGAAGTGTAGTAAAAATCAATATGACAGACAGGAAACCAAGAACTGGGGTTACCTGTAGCAATGATAACACATTATTGTTTCATTATAAACACTGAATAAAAAACATTAAAGATGGGTTGCTGCATTATTATGAATATTCCAGTGTTATTGAAATCCTTTAAGAATGATATACATTAAGAGGTATGATAATGGTTCTTTGTTGTCCATATGTTATGAAACTAACCTCCTGCAATTGGGTGGGTCAATATGTGTACGTCATGACTTTTTTATTTTCTTCTACAGAATTACAATCAAAATTAAATAAACAAGATTATTATCAATGTATGCAAAAAGGCTTGGATTAAAACATAGTTTATAATTCAAAATTTTATAAGTTTTAATTTCTTAATTTCAAAAGTAGATACTTAAATAAATTTTTAATCTTCACTTCAATGTACTACATGACACGTATACCTTCCAAATTGCCAATTTTAGATTTTCTTTCGACCTAAACAGTCTTTCAAGTTTTCCATGAATTATACACTCATAGAACAGATACTGGCAAGCTAGAGTGTAAATTTCTAATCTCGAAGCTTCTTGCTTTATTGAAATATATAAAAGTCAAACCCACATGTCACACTCATCCTATCTTATTCTGTCTTTAAAAAATGTCAGTATTTCTCTCTGATATTTGTTATTGGATTATTTATAATCAATAGAAAGTGAAAATTCTTCTTTCAATAACTTTTATAAGGCTAGTATGTTTTGGCATTTAGTAAAGAGGTATTTAGCCTCAGTTTCATTGTTTGCCATCATAGTGTCCAGCTTTCTTATAGTGTAGTTAAAAAGCCAGTTAAATTATAGTACTTTTTCTTTATTCTGTTTTAGTACCTGACATATGTTTTGTGTTTTAAAATAAATATTTAAAAGTAACATTATTTATTTTGTGGACAACCAACACAGTGGAAAAAAGCAGTTTTACTGAAGTAAATTCCTGAGTTCAAATAGGCCTATTTGCAAAATTAAGTCTTAAATTTCTTGCTTTTTATGTAAATTTTTTTATTTATTGTAATATATTTTTAACAAAAATTACTGAAATGTAAAAATTATAGCTTATAATTTAAAACTCTATGTTTTAATTTTAAAAGAAGATATTCAAATAAATTCTCAGTCTTCATTTCTCTGTATCACATGATGCATGAATTGCCTATTTTAGTTTTCTTGCTACCCTCTATGATCTTCCAAGTTTCTCATTTTTAATTTTAGGTTCCTGAACAAAAAAACTTTTAATTTTTACAAGATTAAAAGCAGTAACCATAATATTCTGAACTTTTAAAACAAACGTAATAAATTTCATGGGCTATCTATGTTTATAAGGCCATTTTGAAAAAATGTCTGATGTCATTTTCCAGGTTTTCAAGGATATGTACAAAAAACAACAACCCTGTTATACTCACTGGGAGATAATATGTATTTTGTAAAGAGTTCAAATAGGCCTATTTGCTGAGATAAGTATTAATTAAATTTCTTGTTTTCTATGTATATTTTTTATTTATTGTGATATATTTTTAACAAAAGTTACAGAAATGTTAATATTAGAAACCTATTACATTAGATAACAGAACATAAATAAAAAGAAAAACATTTTTTAAATCAGCTCGAATTAACAACATCATGGGATTGTAGCTTCATCAGTAGTCTATGTTAATTCCTTGGTTACGGATTAGGCCCAAAGCTAATGCGTAACCACCAAAGTAACCAAGAGATTAGTCATTTTTTTAACTTTTGGTAATATAAGTGTATCCTCATGAAGTTTTGCAGACTATCAGAAACTATTATAAGACTTTTGTACATAAAAAATCAGATTTTTCAATTAAATATTTAACTAAAAATTTGTTCATGAATTTATGCCACCTGGTTACAAAGTACATTCAGAATTATAGTCTGTAAAGTTAGATAGCGGTTACAACGTTGGTCAAAACGACCAAGCCTGGTTTCGGGGAGCTAATCTCAAACACACTGTCACTAGGAGAAATGAAGATAATTTCATGGTAACTAATCACACACTCCGTGAGAATTGAACAAGATCTCCTTGTCACTGATCACACACACACTATTACTCCGAGATATGGAGTGAAAACATTTTCCTCTCAGTATTTCAAGATGCTAAATTGTATATATAGGTATTCATCCAATCTTATTTAGTGCATCTGTAAAAAAGTATGCAATGACTGTAGATCCATGTCATAAATTGTAATACAAATTCTTCAGAACACTGTAGGGTTGAACTTGCCTTTCAAAACATTGATGCTTTTTACAAAACTTATGAAGTACAATTGCCAAATAAAGACATATTCAAATGTGTGCACATATAAAAAGGAGATTATACAGAAATAATTTGTTTTAATTACTAGAGATAAAAAAGTAAGTTTAGAAAGACAAAAAATTACAAGATGGTTGACAATTACAATCCCAAGATTCTGGGATTATCAGCTTTCAATATTATTGCATGATCATTTCTCCAAGTGAGTAGACAGATATTTTCATCATCATATTTTTGTTCCACCATTGTTATTGCTTTACTTTTTCATGCACAAACTTACTTTTTCACAACAGTTTCTGGTATTCATGCTTTTATCAAAACATTATTGATTATGATTTAACATTACATACCCTTAAGGCCCAGTGCCAGTCTCCAAAAAGGTGAGCAACTTCTGACCCAGCAATGTATCCAAGACCACTGCAAGAAAGTAAAAATGTTTAAAAAAAATAGAGACGAAACTATTTCCTTCCAAGACTACATGTATAATTTGGATTTGTTGTTGTTACATCATACAACACAGGTCAACAACTGTATAAAATTTCATTCTGAAAGAATACACACTTGTCAGACAAACAAAGAATTTAAATTTTCTTGTAAACATCTGTTACAGTTCTTTAAAATATTCTGAGCATCAAACCCATAGTTTACTGACATAGACATTTTGATTTTTTTATGGACATGTGAGAATTTGACAAAAAAATTCTATGGAAGTTTTTAAAAACAATTCTGAAAGGATTTTGAATAAATAACTTTAAGGTATTTACAGATTTTAATAGATTAACTAATATTTTAATAACAATAAGTGTTGTTTTAAAATAATCCAGAGATTGTTAATGGAATTTAAATTTACTCTTATAGATCTTGTGTAATTGAGTTTGTTTTCAATATATTTTTTAAACATTTTGCTAATGTTTTATTTTTAAGCTTTGGTAACCTGATTTACGACAATGAAGAGAGAATAGCAGTATACAGACTGGAAAAGCACTCTCAGCCATTAAATAATAAAGGTGTTACAATTTCTCATAAAATCCACTGTCAATAAGGTTATTTTCATACTATTCTATTAATGTATGTAAAATAACATCCCATTATTTACATACAATTCAGTTATTGAAATATGCCCCATATCTCCAGAATGTAGCTTCATTTGGTCAATATTGCAGTATTGCAGCTTTGTCATGGGCCATTGATAATCTATAAGTTCACTAATCCAGTTGAAACTAAATTGGAACACTATCATTAGGAAATCAAACATTAATACACATGGCTTAAAAGGTTCAGATCATATTCATTTGATGTCAAACATTCTTAATTTACATTGTTGAAACAAACTGAACCAGAGTAGAGGGAACCACATCTGAGCAGGCCAATACAAAGCAACAAGCAGGATGCAACAAGGAGTGGTCTGGATAAGGGAAAAGACTGTGAAGAGGAGTCTGATCAGAGGGTAGGCATGTGGGTGAAGACCCCCCTCCAATCTTGATTGAACCCATCTACTCCCAAAGCTGAAGGGTGTGGAACCAGAGACCAAAAGGAAATAATTTGCCAGTGAGTGGCAAACACATCTATATGCGATGTTCCCAGTGGAGAATATACCCACCGAAATACTCAATGAAGAAGGGACCACTCCGTGGGGAGAACCTGGTTTGGTCGAGATAAGCGTTCGGCCACCAGATTCATAACACCAGGAATGTGACATGCCAAGATTGCCATGTAGTGGTCATTGGCCCAGTAAAGAAGATCCAGAGTCTGAAAACACCTTGCTTGGTGATATAGATAGCAACAGTGGAATAGTCAAAATGATACAGAGCTCAATAAATTGCCAAAAAGCCCAGGATGTTGAAAATGGAGATTAGCCTCCTTGACAGACCATCGACCTGAAATCTCTTGGGAATCAAGGATAGCCCCCAACCCATCAGGGAAGCATCAGTAAACATATGAGACTCCAGATAAGGTGGAGGAATGGGAACCCCCACCATGGTCAGTTCCTTGTCGAGCCACCAAGCAACAGCCCTGATCCCAGGGGGAAGGGTAATGAGATGGTCCAAGGGTTCATGGGAGAAGTTCCATTGGTCGAGAAGCATCCACTGAAGGGAACACATGTGAGTTTGACACAAAGAAATGAGAGCTTAGAAGGAAGCCCACAACCCCAAAAGAGAAAGAACCCTCATGCAAGGAGAAAAGGAGAAGGTAGGGCCATTGAGACTGTCCACTCCATATCCCTGAGCTGAAGTGGAGAAGGCTAGGCCTGACAAAGATGGGAATTGAAAAACAATACACCAATGGAATAATATATTGAATGGGGTTAAGAATAGACTTCTCCAACTGGATCAGAAAACCCTACCCAATTAGTTTACCTAGAGCAGTAAACAGGTGTGATTGATTGACTATGCACAGGAAGAGAAGAGCAGGAGCCAGTTGTCCATGAAAAGGAGAGTCTGAAGACCCAATGAGTGAAAATGATGGGCAAAGGAGCATACCAATCAACAAAACAAATGGAGCTAAAGAAAGACTGAATTGCACAGAAGAAAATGATATGATACTAGAGCAGTTGGAATATGAAGATAGGCATCTGTCATGACAAATTGGTCTCCAGAGTCCTAGGGGGGAAAAACCCCAAAGAGAGAGGTAGGACTCCAAATAAGAGTTCAACCGGGACAGGTCTATGATGGGTCTCCAATCTCCCATCTTTCGAGGGAAAACAATTAGCTTGGAGTGAAACTCCAGTTGAGTGGGTACCACCCATTCAACAGCCCCTTTGTGTAGTAGATCTTGAACAGACTAAGCAAGATGACTGGAAGAAATACAATCCTGAGGAGGATGGAAGGAGATCTGGGAAGTGGATAGGGTGAGAGTGGAATTGAAGACAGAACCAATAGAACCCACAAAACTGTCGTGAAGCGTAGCCAAAAAGACACATAAATGAAACATACTTAGAGAAAGTACTCTTTACTAACAAACTAACAAAACCTAGAAATTTGTAGTCTACAAAGTACATAAAAATAATGAACTTGCAAAACTATGAAATTTGACCTAAAATACAAAACCACTAAAGAACTTAGAAGGTAGCAGGCATGTAAATATAGAACTTATAAGTTCACTCAATAAGACAAAGGACACAAAAGTAAAATCTACTCTGAATAAAATGAGAATGAAAAGGCACCCAGTTAATAATAATAAAATATGACTTGAATCAAATCCCTAATTAGATGCGACTAGTAGTAAAGAAAAAGGAACTTACAAGCTAGCTAACATAAACAGTGAAAGGAAGTATAAATAATGAACCAACACACCCACAAAATTGGCCAATTACCCAAGCATTAACTATAGTGCAAAATCCGTACATATACTGAAAATTAAACAAAAAAGAAAGTAATAATCAAACTCTAAATGCAAATTTAAACTGAAGTAACTTAGAAGGTAAAAGAATTATAAAAATCTAACTTACCAACTTCTGAGCAAAGAAATTAAAGACCTAAATTATCATCTGAGGAAATTAGGTCAATCCACACAATCTCACTAAAAATGGGTATATCTACTGAGAGTGAGGAATACACACTGAAAAATTTATCATAGATAACAATACCTAACCCAGGAGATTACATGAAGGCAAAGTAACAGATGGAAGGTGCTGTAGAAAGAAATTTCCATTTAGTAGTTATATCCTTCTTCACAAAAATTGTAATGTGAAAGGAAGAAATCGTTGGCCAAATGTAAGACACAAACTTCCCACGAACTAAAGCCTGTGCTTCCCCAGCAGACATCGTCGACTCTGAGACCTGGGGACTTGTGTCGGAACCATTGTCGACTGTCACAGGAATTTCATCATCTGCCATATTAAATCTCGAATTTATATGAACAAATTACAATTCAGAAAACAGAAATATTTCAAAAACAAAAAAATAGAAACAAGGGAAATCAAACACAAGAAGTTAAAACTGATATAAATTTGTGATCAAGCACAACCAAAATTTTGTAGTCACATGGAGAGCGAGTTAAAACACACATCTACACACTAGAATGCCAATCAAAAAATTGAGGATTGTCCTAGAACAGTACAGAGAGATAGCTGTGCCAGCATAGATGGCACAATAAGATTGGTGGAGAGTAGTCACACGATCAGTACATGTTCTGAGATGGCACAAAACTGATGGGGTATAAAGCCCAGTGTGCTGTAGCAAAATTATTTTTAGCAATGCTTAGAGTGCAGACCAGGATTGAAATAGCTTTAGATGAGAAGAAGTAGTACTGTTTCGAAATCGTTAATTTTCTGTACAGAAAACAACACAATATAATACATTATTTGATAGATTAAAACTTGAAACTTTGGCTTTCTATTGTTTATAAATAATATAGTATTAAATAAGGGGTCTGATTTTCTAGATTATGGTTTTGTAACTAAATAATCACACACATAAACAAATAACCATACAAAAATGAGATAATTGTTGTGAAACTGAATTGTAAGATGTTATTATTAATGATGTAAAACAAACTATTAATAATGTGTAAAGTTGTGTGATAACACAGACAAAAATCTATTACTACTGCAGATGCTTTATGTTAATAATATAAAAAAACATATTTACTATGAGATGATATCCATTAACAAAAAGTAAAATATGGAATGATGTGTATAAGCAAAATAAGATTTGGCAAGATTACAGAGGGTTAAGTATGTTATATTAAAACGAGTTTTGATATGCATTCCAGCAAGTCATGTGACAACAACCACCAATATAAATTCATGGCAGAGCAGCATGTACCATAACAGCACTTTGACACTGTCTGGCATTTCAGAGAAAGTGTGATGCCACTGAAAACTTATCACTTTTGACTAAGATCATAAATATGTGTTCAGATCTGGGATTTAGAATTTCCAAAACAGGAATATCCCTTGTACTTAATGGCATTGGAAAAACAAAGGAACATAAATCAATTTAGGACATCAGAATCATACAGAAAGAGATCCGCAACTGTACCCCCATCCAAGGTAAATAAAGTGCAGCATCTTGTAACAAGTGAGAATTCACAAACACAAAAGTCAATGGTAAAAGCTATCTACTTGCCCCAGACAATAGTACACAACATAATCAAGAAGAATATTGAAAAGATGACAACAAGGTATGGGTTCAGCAAGATAAGGCTTCCAGTCATACCTCCCATTCAACTTTCGCATATATCAAGCACCTGGAGAATGAAACCAGGTATTCATGCTATTCCACATGAAGACATACCATTCAAGTTGCCAGATGCAACAATTATGGACTTCTGTGTAATCAGACAGTGGAAATGGGTGCTGGGAAACTGTTGTCCACATAAGCTAGATGGGTAATGGAAAGCAAGCAGGAAGGAGTTGTATGTTTTGGACATAAGAACTTTATGATGGAGCCTTCTGCAATGGAAACTACACTACAGGGCTATTATCAAGATGCATGTTCATCAAATATAGCATAAGCAGATGTGAGTACACAGACTGTAAATGAAGTGATGAGACTCTAAAATCATTTTAACTCTAGGCTTATCAGTACCCTTTTCTGCATGTCTTGCGGATTAAAAATTTATATAAACAATCTTACTATCAATGTATGCCAATGAAATTAGCATTATAATTCAAAATTATATATTATATAAGTTTTATTTCAATAGAAACCTGTAAAAAAATTAATAAATTTGACTTCTGTTGTCAGGTGATGCACAAGCATTCACATATCTTAACTTTTGGTTTCTATAACATGAATAGTGCCCATATACAGTATATTTCTATGTCTAAACAGAAACTAAGTTAATTACTGTGTTTATACATCCTTCTTTCCAATTCCTTATGGTCATTTCTTCCCAGACACAGAAAATAAATTTTGCTAAATCCTGACACACTCACCTTCTATACATGGACTTGAGATTTAGAAGCCACATATACTTATCTGACATACATGTTTATAACTAATCAAATGTGCTCATTTTGAACTACATAATACTGTCACTCTTCCTAAATTATTAATGTGGGGAAAGCCATTATACCATTGGAGAGTTTGAAGTGTGATGATCAAGGCAATAGTCTGAACATAAATTAATTTTTTTAATACCTTCATAATTTTATGTTAAAAACCCAAATAAAATAAAGATTATTTGTGGTCTCAATCTAGTAATTTATAATTTTTTGTTATTTCAAAATACATATATAAAATCTACAAAAATTAATTTGTCTACCCTCTCCATGTGGGAGATTCAACAAGGGGTAGCAAGTATAATGCAGAAGTGCAAAACAATTTTGTAACATCATAAGTACTAATGATCATTATTTTCTGTATATATTTTATTTAATTTTCTATGTTTTAAGAAAAATAGCTAAAATGTAAGTATTTATGAGTAAATAGCAGCAACATATATACATATGTAACATATGATAACCAAAATGTACTTTGGAGATTATGTGTTAGGCCCTTTGAACTGAACCCATAAACTTACTGAGTTAATATAGTGTACTAAACCTATGTCAGCTTGTATTTGTTCATATACATATTTACATAAGTAACTGATTCATTTTTTGGAAAACATAACTTAATAATAATAAAGCGAATTTATTATATGTTTTGAAATCTTCAAAATTCCATCATCAGTAATCTAAAGGTACAAAACAAACACAATTGTAATTACAACAGAAATATGATATGATTCGTAACACATAAGTACACTTTTTGTATTCAAATTGTTTACTTATGTCTTACCAATTATATCATATTTTTGTTGTAATTACTATTGTGTTTGTTTTGTACCTTTAGATTACTGATGATGGAATTTTGAAGATCTGAAAGGTTTAATAAATACTTCCTATTATTACAATCGTGTTTTGCTTTATTATTATATTTACATAATTAAGTACTACTAGCTAAGGAAATTTATTGAAATTATTTTAACTTACCTGTGCATTACTTTTATATATTTACCTGCACAGTTGTGAATTTCCTTAACATAGATCAATGGATTAATTAATATATCTCAGCTCAAAAGGCTTTAATGATAATAACTAATAGTATCATTTGTGTCATTTAAAATTTATAAATGAACAGTTTTCAGAATTACTCAGTTATGTTTTTTCATATCCCAGTGGAAACAGAAATACACTGTATAAGCATTAGCTATATCAAAGTTTATATAACCTACCTGCCTACAGGAATGGCAAAATAAAAAATGGCAAGCATTTTTGATCTCATTGAATGAAAAAATAAGTCAGCTATAATGGTTGGAGCAATAGTGGAGTAGCTGGCTTCACCAGTTCCAACGAAGCCTCGCAACACCATGAAGAGGCCAAAATACTGGAACCAAAAACAATATATAAATCCTCGTAGCATGCTATGTGTACATCATTACAAATATAGCTTCTTTTAATATGAAATTACAATCACATCATAAAATGAGGAAATAGTAGATTAATACATGGTTAACTTCATTTATACCCAAGAAAGTATAACAAATCTTACCAATTTTTTGCTTTTAAATGAAAGTGAATACTTCTTTTACTTACTAGCATTTGATATTTTTCTTTTATTCTGATACACACGTTTCAAAGTTTAGGGATTTTCATTTAAAAATATACAACTATTGTGACAAATTGTCCACTTACCCCAGAGGGTATAAAGGATCCAAGAAGAGTTGTCAAGCTCCAAAACAAAACTCCACAACCCATGATGAGCTTCCTACTATATCTGTCTCCAAGGTAACCAAAGATAGGAGCCATAATCATGTAGCTGACGATAAAAACAGTTTGGAGCAGTCCTGCTTCTGAATTATCTAACTTGTAATAACTTAGGATATCTGTTAGTACCCCTGCAAATCAAAGAAACAATATCTTATGAGCTCTAATCATTGAGGAATCTACTGAGGATAACTTTTTGTAGTAAAAGTTGACATTTTCAAACATTGAAAATGTATTTCTGATAGATACTCCACTCCACTCACATCTAGCTTTTCTGATTCAGTGCTTCTTTCTCTATATGCAAACTTTCTTGCTCACCAAAAGTCTTGAGGCTCCTACCTAATCTCACAAGTTTCCACATACTATTGCCTCATTGATGCATGCAAACGAGCATGTGACAGCCCACCACCAATAGGAGTGTGACAGTACCTCCTAGCACAGCTGGCTCTCTCTATTCTGATTGTTCAGTTGTTATTCAAGATTAGGAATGAAAGTAAGATGCACCGGAGGTGAGGAAGAAGAGTGGAAAGTGTGAAAGGAGGTGAGTATCTATCTGAAATACATTTTCAGTGTTGGAAAATGTTAACTTCCAATATGCTACATAATCTCCTCTCATATCTAACTAGAATTCCAAGTTGAAGTGGTGGAGGAGTTGGTCCAAAATTTCACCTAGATGAGCCCCCTTTGGGAAGTGCCTGGAAAGAACCCATGGAGTGCAACACCCTCTACATAATAGTTATAGATATTCAAAGATGTTATGTTGCTAAGAGTGAATAATTAAAACAAGATTCCTTTACTGAAATTAGATATCACTTTATTTTGTTTTAGTTTGTACACACATATATCACCATCACACATGGAGTGATATCTTTCAGTAATATGTTAGAAATAATAATTTCTTGCTTTTATTTTTAGTCTCCTGGATATCAAGAATAAAGAGATAGATTGAAGTACCTCTCAACATCTATTTGGATCTCACATAAAGTAAAATGTATGCTTTTTTTTACATAACACAATTTTTATATAACACGTAATTAGTAAATTTCCATAGTTTTTTTCTTACTTTTGATGATAAATATGTAATTCAGGTTCTTTAGCTGTACATCATATAAGTTAGTTTTTACTTTACTTTGTGATTTTGCTTATGTCCGTACACATACAAACAAAATGTACATTTATTAAATATATTCTTAAAGAAAAAGCTCAATAATTCAAATGGATATGCATAATGTTTTCAATATGTCAACTGAATATTAATAGCATTTTAATTTTCTCTGATGGAAAATATTTCAATGCTTAGGAAAAAGAAAAATATTTCTTTAGATGAAGCACTGAAATTGTTTTTTGCTTCTTCCTCTGAAGAAGAGTGTCTTTCTGGATTGGAAGAAGCTGCAATAAATAAAAATGAAGAGAAGCAAGAACCAGCATTGCTGGAATAACTTTTATTTGAGGAGCCTGACTTACCTTCAAGGGAAGAAGACTCTCCTCATGACCACCAACAATCTGAGGTTAGTGATCTTCCCAAGACCAGCACTACATCAACGTTCAAAATGGCTAGAGGCAAGAAGACACAAGAAAATCCCCAGGCCTGTAGTGCAGAATGGAAATGGGAAGTCCTCAAAGATGAGCAGCCCAGATTGTTGGGGGACTTCAACAGAGGGGAGCCTGTTTCCCATCAAGCAAGTAGGTGTCAGACTCCTCTTGATTTTTTTCAACAATTTTTTTTTTCTGTCAGCACTGTTGCTAAGATTGCTGAAGAAACAAAGATTTGCACACTAGCAATGGGAACACCTAAACAATGATGTCAGGAAGAAAAGGAAACTGCTGAAATATAATGATGTTACTTCTGAAGAAATGTTAGCTTATATTGGTTTAACTATTTCTATGGGTATAACTCACTTACCATCTATTACAGATTACTGGTCTACCACTCCTTCACTTCATCTTCCCTGGTTTTCTTCAATATTTTCCAGGGAAAAATTCCTAACTATTGCTCGCTTTTTTCACTTCAATGGAAATACTAATAATCCACCTAAAACTTATGCTAAGCATGATAAACTCTTCAAAGTCAGACTTGTGCTTCATCATCTACTAGCAGCTTTTCCAGCTCACTATAACCCTTCTAGGGTACTTTCTATTGATGAGCAAATGTTGGGAACAAAAGGTAGAATTTCTTTTAAGCAATATCTACCTAGCAAGCCTACCAAGTGGAGAATCAACCATTGGGTTCTGGCAGAAGCTGTGACTGGATACTATTTAAATCTTAGAATATACTCTAGTAAAAGAGGGATTTGTACCTTCCATGAGCTTAGCAAGAACAGTTGTAATGACTCTCATGGAAAAGTACCTTGGAAGGGGACTCTCTCTTTTTACTGATAACTTTTATACTTCCCCAACGCTGTTTAATAAGTTGCTTTCACTTGGCACTTATGCTTGTGGCACTTGTAGGAAGGGAAAGGCCCAATTCCCAGACATGTTTCCAGATAAGTTATAAAGGGAAGAGTCACAGTTTTTCAACTGTGGCTCAATGACTGCTCTAAAGTGGACTGATAAAAGAGATATTCATGCTCTTTCTACAATGCATAATGCTACAGTAAAGGAAGTGACAAGAAGACAGAGTGACATGATTAGCAAGCCACAACTAATCTTGGATTACAACAAGTTTATGGGAGGGGTTGATCTTAATGATCAATTTCTTAGCTATTATTCCATTCCACATAAAACTATCAAATGGTATAAGAAACTTTTCTTTAGATTTGTTGACCTGCCTATTGTTAATTCTTTTATTCTTTTCAAACAGGTAACTAAAATTAGCAAGTAAAAACAGGAGGACTTCTGTTTACAATTATTGGAATCTCTCATGAAATCTAAAATTGAAAGTAGAGGAGGGCCTTCTTCTTTGTCAAGTATCTATTCACCAGTTCTGGCAGACACACAGAAATGGCTCTCACCTGGGAAGCATTTTTCAGCCTTTGATGAATAAAAAAAAAGGTGCAGATTGTGCCTCCACAGAGGTTTAATTAAGTTGACTTGTAAGCAGTGCAAGGTTCATCTCTGCGTAAGGCACTTTGAAGAGTACCATACTTTGAAGACTCTTCAAAGAAGTTAACTTTTCTTTCTATCAAAGCTAGTCAATATGTTATGATTAGAAAGAAAAGTAAAACTCAATCTGATTCCTTTTATTTCCTACTTCTTCCACTTTCTTAAAATCTAAAACTTCTTTAGTAGAAGTTTGGTGTTTATAACACTTTGTTTTTTTTTATGTTTTTTTTACACCATCACTCAGCATTTAGGTATTTCCACTTGTTTTAAATTTAGTTTATTTGTTAATTAGTGTTCTAAACTCATTGCACTTATTAGCCATAAAAAATGAAAATATTTCAACAAAGACTTTTACAAGAGCACACAAATTTTTGTCTATATTGAATTGTATTTATTATACATTACTGTGCTCAGTTTTATTACTTTTATCATATTTTGTTATTAGTTTCTG